TACGAAGCTAATTTTTGGCTCAAGGGTTACGTAAATAAGCAAAATTGTCGATTTTTAATTTAATGTATTTTTTACACCCTCAGCCATATGGCTAGAGAGGGTATAAATCATTTGATACGGCCAAAACCTGCCTCATCGAAATAACGGTTTAAACCCTGGGTCTATTTGAACCAAATCTAAAGCGGATCTAGCGATGTTCGTCCGTCTGTCTGGCTGGTTGGTGATAAAGATAACTCTCGATGAGAGTATCCGATTTGGCCCAAACTTGGTACATAGTAATATTATTATCAAACTTATACCGAGATCGGAGATGGGCAATATCGGTCCATTCCAGCAGGTACCTACCTCTCCCACAAAAGGTCGAAATTAAAAAAAATATATATTTTACTGGTCCGAATTTTCTCCAACTTTGCAAATCCTAATATTTCCATCAGTGCTTCATCAGGTGCGAAAATGGACAATATCGATCGACTCCATCAAGTCCCTCCCCCAAAGTATAAACATTTTTCAATAAATATAACTCTTATGAAATGTGATGTAAGAGTCCGATTGTCTTCACATTACACACATCACAATATTTATATTAACCCAAGGTCTGATGTGAAGATGGAATATATCGGTCCACATCTTCTGGCACCACCCCCACAAAGGCTTAACATTTTGAATATCCACGAAACTAATAAAACACGAAATTAACATCCAATTCTATTCAGACTTGGCACATCCCAATGTTTCTATTAGCACAACATTTGTTATAAATGTAGTAGATATCGAATTTTTCCTTCTGGTACCGGTTCTCTTCCATCCGGTTCTCTTCCAATTACACACATCACAATATTTTTATTAATATCGGTGCACACCTTCTGGTACCTCCCCCACAAAGGGTAAACATTTTGAATATCCCCGAAGCGCATAAAACGCGAAATTAACATCTGATTCCATTCAGACTTGGTACATCTCAAAATTCTCATCAACACAAGATCTATTATAAAGATGGCAGGGAACAGACCATTTCTTCTGATAACTCCCCTACATAGGGTTCAAGACTCTGAAAAACAAAACACTCAACGAAAGCGAATTAAGCTACCAGGAAAGCTTTGCCATTTTTTATTTTCAATCCACTGGTAATGCAAAAAGGGGTCTGTATGCATTATCTTTTATTGAGTTATTTAGTTCATACAGCTTTCAAGTTTTTGCTGGGTGGGACATTAAATATCTATCACGGACAACCTACTTCTGACTGAATTTTCCACATATGTTTTTTTCGAAATCGATATCAAATCGTTTAATATGCTTATCAGAAAGCATGCAGAAATTTTATAACGTAACGATTATGCATTTTGAGGGATTCTTAACCGCAAAAAAATAATTGTTGTGCAAACATTTTGTTTATGTGGCTTTTGACGATAAGAGGCGGCGAAGGCTATTGACACTTGTTGGCAGGAAATTTGATAACCAAAGCTATATATAAACACGTATGGGTGTATCCAGGGCAGAGGTGTCGAAAATGTTTTCGTAACTATTTATGTAAAACGAGTGACATATTTTTTTTTAAGTAAAATAATAAATAAATCCGTTTTAAGTTTCCTCATAAACTGTATGAGACATTAAATTGCATTTCTTTTTTGTTTGAAACATTTGTTTCTATTGACATAATACTCGAAAGAATGCCATCAAGTTACTTTGTCGGTAAATGGTAATTTTCTTTATTCTCGAAATACTCATGACAGACCCTACAAATTATATATATACGATACAGTTTATAAGGAAACTTAAAACGGATTTTTTTTTTCTAAGCCACTCGTCCGACAGCTGTTAAAATTATTCCAGTGACAAAAATGGTAAAGACTAGACAAAATGCATTCTGAGCAGATGGTTTGTGTCTATACTATCTAGAATTACAGCTCATGACAGGACAATGTTAATATAAACAAGTAAAAAAGCTGTAAGTTCGGCCGGGCTATACGAAGACGTGGACCTGCACAGACAATTTTCTGGCATGGGTATCTATTACGAACTTCACATGCGAAATTTGAAACAATTCCGGTAAATAATGTCGTTAAAATCATCCAAATACCGAATATCGGGGGGTACCTTTATATGGGGGCTATATGATAACTTGGACCTACATGGCCCATTTACGAACCTTCTATCTTAATTTGTTCGAAATATAGCGTGATCATAACAGACAGACAGACGGACATGGATGGAATCGTCTTAGAATTTTATGCTGATCAAGAATATATATACTTTGTTGGGTCTGACATGAGTGTTTCGAGGAGTTACAAACGGAATGACAAAATTAATATACCCTCCATAGTATGGTGGAGGGTATAAAAACAAATTTATAGAAAAAATGACAAATAAAAGTTTGAAAAATCCAAAAATTGGATTTCAAAATTATATTCCATAGACTTTCCCAATTAATTACATATTGCCTAAGCGGTTTAAATCGCTTAACATTGCTATGTTTTTACGATATCATAACAACAGAGGTATTTTTACAGGGTTGCCATTTTTTGACTCTGTCTTGTCCCATCTTTATACTTCTATGCCTTTGCCAGTGACAGCTCATTACATTGTTTACAAGCGTACAAAAGCATCTTGGTGAGAGTTTTCCAGAAAAAAGATATTCGTAGTGGAATTCAAGCGTGATTAATGTTATTTCTTTTATTTGGCTGGAAAACCGCAAGTGGCTATCGTTAGAGCACTTCAGCATTTAAATAATAAATAAATCTTTTGTGTCTCGTACCATCGCTCATTACCGTGATACTGGTAGCGTAGCCAGACGCCAAGGAAGTGGGCGCAAGAAAACAGCAACATCAGCAGAAATGGTTCGAAAAGAAAAAAAATGCGACTTGATCGAAACCCGCATCGCAGTGGCCGAAAAATGGCTCGTGAGCTGAACATATCACAATATTCCATTCGGCAAATATTGAAAAATGAGCTCGGGTTAACCCAATGAAATTCCAAAAAGTCCAAGACTTACACCGCAACAGAAAGAAAATAAGCCCAAAAGAACTAAAAAGTTGCTTCGCTTAGCCGAAAGTGGTGTACTGCCGAATTTGATTTTCTCCGAATTTGGCCACCAAAATCTACGGATACCAATCCGTTGGACTATTGTGTCTGGAGTATTTTGGAAAGCAAAGTTGGCACTAAAAAATACCAAAGTGTCGATCACCTCAAGTAAGCGCTTCGCCGGATATGGGCCAAAATATCGCAGAGCAACATTCGGGCAGCGTGTGACGGTTTCATTGTAGAGTCAAATCAGCTGGGGTTTGTTACTACCTGTAATTACTATGCCATGGGCCCGGCCGAACTTTTTTTTTTTTTTTTGCTTTTTTACTTGTTACTTTTTCCATGTGTTCTCACCTTGAAGCATTAGTCACTAAACGCGCTTACCTATATTTAATGTTGTGATAAAAAATAATTAAAATAAATATATACATATGCTAACTAATGTGAGCATAAATATATACATATGTTTCCATATAAACACCATTGTACGCATTTGTGTACATTCACCCTTGGGATTGTGCCAACATTTGCGTCATATAACAAATTCAAAAAGCGCTTGTGGTTGTCTTTTTATAAATATAATTAATTTATAATAAACATACTTATGCATATGTAGTAGTATACGCGTATATATAACATATTAGAAAAACTAGCCAAAAATTTCAAAAATTAGATGGCAATCCTTCAGAATAAACACATTAACCAACCAGAATAATGCTAATATATTTTACTCAGCCAAATTTGTCTGGATAAGAGTGGCAAGAGAGAATGTCATATTCGCGCGTGTTCTCTTCGTTTTGTCTGCAAGTTTCATCAGTTATTCGGATGTGGTGATCAAGTAAAAGAAGGGAAAATATCACAATTAGTACTATTTTCCAAGTTCTGAAACATAATTAGGTCCGTTACGATAACAAAGACCTAATACATAATATAAAAGGATGGGACATTTCACTGTCGCTTTGATTCAATAGATGTATAGCATAAAAATGTGTTGTCACCAAATCGTGCCCATGGTAGAAGAATATAGGTAGATGCATCAACGCTTGCGAACATTGATGTGTCAAAATTTTAAAATTGTTTTGTCAAAAATAAGTAAATTTTTATATTTTTTCTTATACAATACAAATTGGAGGTTGTTACAATATGTATTTCTCAACAATTTTAACAATTTTTCATTCAACATTTTCAATTCCAAAATCGGTTTGACAGTTCATTGTCCCAGCAGCTGTGTCGAAGCGACTACCTGTATTCTTCTACCATGATCGTGCCATAGCATTATGTTATAATTTAACAGAGTTGAATTTTCTATGGGGCTCTCGCTGATTTTTATCGATTGTATGTAAATGATCTGGAATAGATTGTTGAGACCATGTCTATCATATTTGATCATTTTTATCATCATTTTTTCAGCTATTTTTCGGCGATTTCGTTGTAACATATTTAACTTTTCGATGCATTGGCGTTGGTAGTGGAAAAATATGTTATGTCACGATATCGTGACATAATTTAACAGAGCTGACACATTTTAAGGGTTGTTGTTGATTTTTATCGATTCAAAGTACAAGGAAGATTTTTGGAATAGATTTTTGAGAACATGTCTATCATACGTGATATTTTTTTCCGCGTATTTCCGCCATTTTTGGGCGATATCGGAATAACACATTTTTCAATGCATTTCTGTTATATCGCTTGCTATCTACTACCCGATAGGAAAATTAAAGCCCATATGCATTTTGTCCAATCTTTATAGTTTTATGTCTTTGCTAGGTGTATTTATTCATAACAGTGTTGTCCAAAAATTAAAATTATTCGGTCGGCGTTTTTCACCACAAATATAAACTACATTCTTTTATACGTGTTCCAGAACCGACGTAACTATGCACCTTTGCTTTCGTTAATGCGCTTATTGTTAATGCTATCAATTATTAAATGCGTTATCACTTCGTAGTGAATTACCGCTATTTTGCTGATTACTCTTTCTTCTGATATTCATTTTATTATTATTGAGCGCAATTGGCTCATTTACAGAGCATAAGTTGTGGAATTGTTTATTGCTTATGGAATTTCTATTGCTTTGTGTGGAAGAGACACTCCTGTTTGAAAAAATAGAGTGGGAGCCAAAATATAGTGTAATCATGAGGAACAAATTGTTTGCTGATCCGTGTGTGTATTTAATGCAAGTAGGCATTGCCTCATTTTCAGAGCATAGGTTGTGGTGAGTTGAATCGTTTGCTCTATTGTCTTGTGTGGAAGAGCTCCCGAGACACTCCTGTTTGAAAAAATAGAGTGGGAGCCGAAATATAGTGTAATCAAGAGGAACAAATTGTTTGTTTGTTGATTTGTGTGTGTGTAAAAGCCAGTAGGCTTCATATTGTTGTGAAGATGGTGAAGGGGGGGGTGATCAAAGAAGAGAAAATCAGTAGAAGGGCCGGTGGGTTTTGTGTACAAAAGCCAACGTACGAAAATATACTATACCAAACGTTTGCAATCGTTTCGTTCTGTATTTTCTCGTAGAAAAAAATGAAACAAAATCGATATTAAGTTAGAGGGACTTTTTTTTATTTTGTTACTGTTTGTGTAGATAAGTGGAAACAAAAACAAAACTGAAATGTACTCGGCTGGATGACGGAACATTAGAAACAAAACAGTACAAAACTCATTGGAAACGCTTGCAAGCGTTTCCCTCAACTCATTACAAATAATTTAAAAACATATTTTAAGTAAAATTCACGCCTTTTTATTCATTTATTAGGCTTATCATACAATGGAAAATGTGCAAAACAATAATTAGAATGGCAACTCTAAATATAGCAGTCATTATTTCTCACAGCAAACGTTCCCGGCGATCTGTTCGCAAACGATACAGCTCGACAACTCACGGCCGAAGTACATTAAAGCAATCGTATTGTTTGTGTATTTCTTGTATAGAAACGTTTGTGGTTTTGTTTTGTATGGAGTACAAAACGATTGAAAAAAATTAAAGTTTGTGACTTCGGGTGAGCAGTACATTATTCGTTCCGTTTGTTTTCGTTCGCTGACAAAAGCAACAACATCATATGCCTTGTTGATACAGATTAGCGACAATTTGGTATACAACACCGGCCAGCTTACTTAAGTAAGTTTAAGTAGTCTTAAGTGTATTGCATAGATTTAATTTAAGTTTATTACCTATTTAGTTGTTTAATTTTTCAAATCCCTTTTTGATAAAATACTCTTTTTCAGGGCATAATTTAAGTTGTAGCCTTATGCCATGTTGTGGCACTTTTTGTTAAGGTAAAGTAGACGTTGAATACATGCACGTTTATTTATAGATTAGTTAGGTTTAGGTCATTTAACCTGTGTTTGAACTAAGATTTGAATTAAAAAAATGGACGAAAGCTAAAACTGAAACTGATTAGCGACAATACTTTTCATCGTGTTGGTTGGTATGCAAGTTTTTGGTACAATAACCGATTTTGCCTTTAAGATATCGAAGAAAATTACAAAACTAGTAGATTATTGCAGGTATTCGAATAGAGCAACGGTAAGGCAACCACTAAACGAGTGATCGGCAAGTGTAGAATCTGCTCTTTTGGAACAAATTTCTCTCACGAGCATAACATGCTCGCCTTTACTCGAGCGAGACCGAAAAAATAGAGTTTTGTTTGTTTTGTTTTTTTTTCTACTTAATTATAAATTTCTGGAAAATATATGTACGGCAAATTTTAGATTAAGAAAGTTAACTTTACACTAACTCTTTCTAACTTATCAATATCAAAAAATAGTCACTGCTTAGGCTACATTAGATGAAATCGTATTAAATATATAAAACATATAATAAATATACGAAGGATTTTTTTTAAACATTTTAAAAAAATTATATGACATATGTGAATGTATATTGATAAAAGTGTGTATATGTAGTACTTACAATGCAGAGTATATCAAAAATATATATAAATCTCTTGACTGCTGATTTGGACGCCATATTTGGTGCTGTTTAGATTTGTTAATATAGGCGGGTATTTTATGTGAATCCAATTTGAAGAATACTTTAGGCAGCTGCAATTTTTTTATAAGAAAAAAAAAACGATATAAATTTGTTAATACTTTCGTCAGACTTGTGTACTTTTTGCCGGACCGCCGAGCATAGAAGATCTGTTAACTAAATTTGTTTGATTTTATATTATTTTATTTTTGTTTATTCTCTTAATTTGTTTATTTGTACATTTGTGTCTATTCTTTTTTCCTTAATGAGAAAGTAAACATTAACTTGTACTGAATTATTGACCAACAACCGCAAACCGAACAGAGAAGCATTTCTAGGCCATATTCATTTTATTTTACAAAATAAGTTTTATGCTGCGGTATTTTTTAATGGTGAATAGAAACATTTTTTTGATCGCGCTTTGCGTAAAAACATATATAGAACACTTTTTTATGATATCGATCGGAAGCATAGATTTAATTCTTTATTATTTTGGATGTTTGTCTTATATTTGATCACTACATTATATCAATTATTTATCTAATTTGATTTTCGACGAAAAACAAGGTTCATCAACCACTATTTAAACACATTCCATTTAATAAGTTTTCATTAATTGACACAAACAAGCATGAATGATAAAAAAATAAAATTTATTCGTTTAGGCTATTCTGCAGAAGGCATGCAGAGTGTACTGTTATATGGAGGCTATACAAGATGTGGACCTGCATACGATTTTTTTGCCATAGGTTGTAGCACGCATTAAGATCTTTCAATACGAAATCTGAAACGATTCCCGTGAATAATGTTGCTGGAATCATCCAAATACTGACTATCGGGAGGTACCGTTATATGGGGACCATACGAAGACTTGGACCTACATACAAAAGTAGTACCCATTATGAGCTTCGAATACGAAATTTTAAATAATTCCTGTAAATAATGTCGCTAAAATCATGAAAATACCGAATATCGGGAGGCACCGTTATATGGGGGCTATACGAAAACGTGGACCGACATGGTCCGAATGTAACCTATCTACTTTGTAGGGTCTATTATGAATATTTCGAGGAGTTACAAACAGAATGACAAAGTTAATATACCCTCCATGGTGAAGGGTATAAAAATGAGGTCATATTTAATTAATGGCATTAATACAGAAGAGGATTTTTTCGGAATAAATTCTTAATTTTTTATTCACATTCTTTTGAAACATTTCTCAACTATAGCCTAATATTCACTCTCCTTAACAATAAATGCTCTGTTCCAGAATCAGAATCTTCTTTCGATATCATAAAGGAAAGGACAAACCCCAGAACTACATCGAATATTTTTTGGGGGGATGTTTTCCACTTAGTATATTTTCAAAATATGACAATTGTAGTCCCTTCGGCTAGAAGATGTGGCTAGGGCCTTTAAACCACTAAAATCAGTCGGGGATTAAACCGAAACGAGAAACGCCACTAAACGTTTTCATAGTCTGTCTATAGTTTTTGTAGTCTGCCTAATAACCGCCAATTCTTTTGTAAATTACAGCTGAAATGCGAAAATCCCCTTGAGACTCATGTGTGGGCACGCCCCAAAGAGAAACCTCCGTCGGCAAATACTGATGATTCAGTCCTCCAGCGGCAAGACGCCATCGAAATAGGAGCTGATGGAGACACTACCAGCAACCCATTCCACCCATGATGGTGTCGACCGAAAAAAGGCTAAAGCAAAAAGGGGATATAAGAGGTCGGTTAAATATTGCCGGCCGGGACTCCTCACAGATCACGGAGAGGGAAAGAATCCTGATCAAGATGAACATCAAGGTAGTTAGGAAATTCGAAAGAATCACCCGCAACAATCGAGCTGTTTTCTTGATCGGATTACTCTCACTCTCCTACCTACCGATCTCAACAAAAAGGTTGAGGACTCCGTGGTGGTTAAAGAAGCTAACACTGATGAAAGGACAATTCCTACTATCACACCAAGTGCTGTCACCGCGGACTCGAAATCTTCTGCTAAAAACGCAGAAGACGTAAGGCCAAGAAGGCAGAACCGGTCATTACTGCAGCATTGGCGGTTCCAACGGAAACCGAAACATGTTAAGTATTTATTTCAAATTACTCAGACTTTAGTAAGGGTCCAGGTCGAGTAATTCGAGATGTTGGAAAGAGAATGGCAAATGTCATATACCGTCATCTAATGGTGGATGACACAAAAAAGTCGTTCGTTGAGCAAACTCTTCACAACACATAAACAAAACCTAATCGAAGTCGAAAAGGATGAAAAAATCTTTTTTTTTTTTTTTTTTTTTTTTTTTGAAATAAAATACTTGTTTTATCAATAGAACTATAAAGAAAAGGGTCATGCATTTTCTAATGGTTTTTTTTCGCAATTTTCTGACTGATTTATGCTTGCAGGTTTATTGGCTCCATGTTGATGACAATTGGGCGCCACAGTGCACTTTGGACTTGTACATTTAGCCATTACAAATGGCTTCAAATAGAAAAAAATCGTCCAAGTCCTGCAGTGCAGTTCAAGCTAGATACGCTTGTATGCTGCGGAATTCTGGTAAAATAACATTAAAGTAATATTTTTTTAGAAATGGCTTAACATCATCACCCCGCTTATTTTCATATCCCACACTTTTTTCGTGCTAGAAAAAGTAAAGGAGAGAATTATTATGAGAGGACTGTTTCGATATGTAAGTGCGGGAGTGAAAAACTTGTAAAAATGTTCACAAAATTGCAAGCCTTCAAAATCAACATATCACTCAATCAAAAGATGGTACTTAGTAAAAAGCATTAACTTTTGATGCTTTTTACTAAGTAAAAGCAGTAAGTATTTGTGTGTTTTCCCTTAATTTTGCCTTTAAATGTTTAGGGTATACGAACGCACTCAAGTGAGAAATGGTGGTCATCCAATTTTGACATAGTCTTTAAAACATTTCGGCCGTTCTCTCAGGAATAAATGCTTCAATAGCACGTTGCCACTGAGTAAAAGAAATTCCTACCCAAATTTCCGGAAAACTTACCAACATTTTTTTATTATTATAACAAAAGCAAAAATAGTGTCTTAATTGTGCGAGCACAAGTGTATAAGCAATTTGCATTCCATTGCCTCCAAAACTGCCTTTATAAATGAATTTCAAGCTTCGGTCCGTCTCAGCCATATTAGCAATCGCTTATTAACAATGCAGAGTTGGTAGAAATGAATTGTGTGTACGTTGATAAACATATGTATGTGTGTACATCAGTAAGTTATAATTCAAAAACCAGTTTTCAATCATAAAAGCTGTGAAGATACCTTCAACTGATTACTAAACAGACAATACGCTTCCAACGATGTGCGAGAATTAATGAAATTTTGCTTTCTCTTTCTTTTTCAACTTCTTTTGTATTTCTCTTTTTTTTTTTTTTTGTTTTGCTGATCAGTATTTAGGTTCTATGCACTTTCTGGGCAATTAAACTTTCCATAAAATTTAAGGTGGTGTACGGTACTAATAAAAGTTTTGTTCGTCTGCTTTTTTCAAATCATGCTAAGATTTTAGAAGATATAGAAATATTCTAAATATCTGTGCAAAATTGAAAAGATTTGATTTTAAAAAAGACGGTATTTATCTGGTCGATTTATAACTCACCTAAAAATAGGGGTTCACAAAATATATTACAAATTATAGCTGACACTCAAAATATCCTTCATAATGGCTAATGTCTTTCTCAAATCCAGTGATACCGCCGAGAAGAAAATCCTAAGAGAAAATCTTGGAAGAAAAATACAGGTAGGTGCATCAACGTTTGGAAACATTGATATGTTACATTTTTGAAATGTACATATTTTCAAAAATAAGTTGATTTTTATATGTTTTCTTATACGAGACCAATCGGAAGTTGCTATGATATGCAAATTTTAACAATTTTTTCAAATTTGAATAAATTTTCACTTAAAAATTTTCAGTTTCAAAATTGGTTTAACAGTTCATTGCCCAGCAACTGTGTCGATGCGACTACCTGTATTCTTCTACCATCTTCTAATGTCAAAACGCATTATTGTAATTGAAATCACAGAACAGAATGATAAACAATAGCCAAAAAAAAGTGTAAACAAATTTTGACATTACGTCTGGTTTTTCAAATTAGCAGGAACAACTTGTTTTTGCGCCATGATGGTTATAGGCCTCTTTTGCTGCTATGTTCCGTGCATATAATCAAACAAAAAACACACGACAGCAAAAATTTATAAAATTGGAACTTTAAAGAATATATTGTTTTTTACAAAACTAGACATATACCATGTTATTTAAATTTTTTCGGTTCTGTTATTCCACATTTAATTATGTATATTCTATTTCTATCTACAAAATATCAACACATTTCCGACGAATAACAAATTGTAAACATATTCACGTGTTGATTTCACTGTGCGAATGTAAACACTTTCAATCTGTCACAAAAACAAAACAAATAAATGCTGACGCTTATCCCAATAATTTCAGTGTTGCAAAACTTGCAGTTTTTGTTTCGATCTTGATGCACCATTATCGGGATCTGTTTACGACGCAAGTATCTCACGGATCTGGTGACCCGTTACGCGTAGCTAAACCAAACATTTTGTACATTTGAAATTTCACTTTTGTTTATTCTTCTATTTTTAAAATAATATTCTATTCGTAAACATTAGCTTAACGTAAGCATAGCTGGCTCTTGTCCAACAATGTGTACATAAATACGAAAATTACGCGCGACAACAGAATTAGATGTGACATACATTCAGTCCGACGCACCATCCAAAGCTCAAAAGCGACTAAAAGCAACTGAACGCGTAGACAAGAACGAGGAACATATAAGTGCCTTCGTGAAGTTGGCAACGTTGCTAGCTATCGATAACAATTTCACCAAAACTACAGGGTGAAACTACATGTAATACTTTTTTTCAACTGTGCGTCAGAGAAAAAACCTGGAAACGATTTGAAAACAAAATTTATTTATGAAACAAGTAAGCAAAGGCTACAGTCGAGCGGGGCCGACCGTTCAATACCCTACAACACTATAATAAACGATACAGTTTATATAGGCGAGATACTCGAAAGAATTCCACAAGATATTGTGACAAATAATAAAAGAAAACCACCAGGTTTCGTTCTCTAATTTTCGAACAATAGCAACTTAAACTAATTTGCTCATTTGCAATATATTGGTAGATGTTGCACGTAAATGGTCTTCCTAGATCTGGAACAAATATTTCCCAAAGACCTATAATCTCTCAGAAGCGGCAAAAGATTAACAGTTATTATTGGTTTTTGACTGAAACGCATCTATATGGGATACAGACATTTGACTATATTCTTCAACGAAATCAGCGTTAACGAAATAGTCAGAAGTGCGTCTTTCCTGTATTTGTGAATTCTCCAAAAAGTCACTGGAATGGACATTTTCGTATTTAGTCTACAAAAGTTGGCAAACTATTTCACACATTGAATATTTTTGGATGGCCATCCAAAACTGCTTGGCTTTTGCAATGTCCGATAACCCCCATTCAAATGTGCGTGAGGATCGGGCGATAATTAAGACCTGCTGATAATTTTGCAGTTTTTTGGTCCATTTCAACCCCTAAATATATGGTGATCATCTCCAAAAAGAGTAGGCTTCTATTCTGACCCTCATCTTATCCCCATGCAAAATTTCGTAAGGATCGGGCCATAAATGCAATCTGTATAAGATATCCTGATATCTCCAACTACTTAGTTTTGTTAGCTGTAGAAATATTACCAAATGTTTAATTCAAAATGAAAATATGAGAAAATGTTACAAAATCAATATTTTCAGCTTTATAGAGATATTTTTATGCGATTTTTTTAGAAGTTTTTACTTTCCTGCCAAGAGGCCATTCTGAATTAATGAGAACTGTCGAAATCAGTTCAGCCGTTCTCGACATATAAGAGATCTTTCAAGCATATCTTCTTTGATGGACATATATATCGCACATATTTTGCTATATATCCGATTTTTTGGATGTTAACATCAATGTAAAGATCAGAAGTAACCTTGACATGGCTTTGTGATTTCGCCAGGATTTAAAATATTCGCGGTTTAATGAAAAATTTTTAATTTTTTCAACACAAAAGATATGGTCTATTTTATTCGCTAAATATTATCCGATGACCACCTAAATTGGTAGGCTTCTTCCCCGCCCTAAACTCTAGCTACATGCGAAATTCCGCGTCGATTGATCTATAATTGCGACCTGTATAGCTACTGCAAAATCCGACATTTTTTCAGTATTTGATCCATTTCAACCCCTAAACATTTGGCGATCATCTCTAAAAGAAATAGGATTACAAATTAACATGGACAGACGGACATACATAGCTAGATCGATTCAGCTCGGCTAGGAAGATCCATATATACTTTCCTATGTGGGAAACCAATATTTCGAGGTGTTACATAATTTTTGGCCCAATCAATCTTATAATACCCCCAACACATAGTGTTGTAGGGTATAAAAATTATGTCCATTGGTCCGTTCCAGAACTGCAAGAATGTAAAAGTTTTTACTACGATAACCAATTTTCTCTTTATGATGTCGAAGAAAATGGCAAAACTAGCAGATTCTTACAGGTACTGGAACAAAGCACATGAAATGTCGATAATGAATTCTCATACCTCAGTTTTTAATTCCATACATAACATCGCAAGCGGAAATTGTTGATCATAAGCATAACTAACAATAAAATTTTGACTTCCCCAAGGAACATTAAATGACACTGGAACACATTCATATGAACACGTTCAACAGAAGCTATATGACAAATGAGAATTTTTTTTGGCATATAAAATGTTCTCCAAATCAGTTTTTAGTATAACATTTTTTCCAATTTTCTGATATTCCACTGTTTTTTCCTCAACGTCTCACCTAGCGTATGTCTTTACGTTATAAGGCCGACTCTCTATTATGTCGTATCTCAAGGTCAGTTTTTTCGAACATGCATTTAAGGTGCAAGAACATAAAAAGTTTGAAGTCATGGCTAGGCATATTAATGTCAAATTATAATGAAAAACGACTGCAGGATTTTAGTGCGGCTCTGCAATCCCTTTATGAAATGTCACAAATCATGCCTAGCCATGACTTCAAGCCTCTTATTACTTATACATCGAGCGCATATTTACTTGCAGTTGACTACATATTTTTTTATTTTAATTTATATATATTTCTCACATCTATTTCCCCTTACTAACCTAATTTTCTTTTCTTTTGCAGGTTGCCAACATGTTGGTTTGACTTTCAGCAATGAAAACCATAAAATGACGATGCCCTTCCAGCTTTAATATTCTAGACTAAATTTTCGTGCTGGTGTCATCGCAATTGGGGAACTTGGGTAGGAGAAGGTACATCCCTCCACAACAATCCACCCAGGTTCCAACCCAAACGAAGCTCCACGCAAAAATATTTTTTCGCAGTAGGGTCGTATCGCGGGTTTGTGGCGCCCGCAACAAATTTTACGTAATGTAAACAAATATGCAACTCCCCCACTACGTCCGTATTACCCTAATGCAAGATCCATATTTTATATTCTACTAAATAATACTGCCTTAAATTTGGTACATTTTATACGTGTACTTAACTTGTGTGACACAAGATACTCGTAATGACTTTTGTTCCTCTACGAAGAAGCCAGCCGATGACTTAAGCTAGCCAAATGTGTGCCGTCGATTCATTTGCCAGCTTAGTGTCAGAGATTAAAATCCGATGCTTCTGACCCATATTGCGTAAATTGCAAAGCAACTGGTCATACTGCAAATTGGAAGGGTTGTCCCAACTCAAAGACATCGTATTGAAACAGCAATAAAAACGACGGAAACTGCCAAAAAATGTTAAACTAGCCCTATCAACCAGCTTAGTCTCACCAAACAAAACTTTTACAAGTTTTTTACGACCCACGCCTTGTCACAGTACAAAATCATCCATCATTGACAAGTTTTTGAAACTATCGAGCATATTTTTGCAGCCAGAAGAGCTCGGCTTGGAACAAGGAATTGAAATTTTTCTAGCTGAATACAACAAAATGTGAAAAAGTGAGGCAAAAATCTCTTCTTCACAATTGTTTACATTTTGTAAATTTCTGCTTATTCACTTTGTATGTAGCATTTACGAACGTCAATGTGTAGCAAAACAAAACGATTATAATTTTGCGTTTTTTTGATTATCACTGTTGTCATCGATAAGTGCAACATATTGTAACCGAAAAAAAGAAGACTCAATAAATATTTTACCACTACTACTACTACTTATGTATTCCCACCCTTAGTTATACATATGATCAACAATTTCCGCTTGCAATCATATGCATGGAATTAAAAACTGGGGGAATTCTTTATCGAACAACATTTGTTTATTTCATGGACCTTTTTCATTCATAATTTTATAAATAATTTTTTTTTTCAAAAACAAAAAAAAAATTCGATGTTATCAATAGTTATAGCATGTTCACACGGTAAATTGAATGACGTTGTTTGCTCTCAGAAACACGTATACGAATTAACACGTTCATACGGCACGATTCGTAATTCATAGTAAAATAATTACTTTTTTTAACAATTTTGTTTGTTGTTGATGGAAGAAATTATTGTTTTTCTCCCAAAGATTTATTATATCATTAATTTTACAATTTTCATTCACTTTTTCAACTTTTTGTGTAAATGTTCACATTTTGAACATATTTTTGTATTTTTCTATTTTTAAATTCTGCTGGAGAGACACTTGTCAAACATTTTTTCTGACGATACAAACATTTTGAAAATATTATCTCTTTTGTTTGCAGTTTTCTGTGGAAATTTCAACTCGTGGACAAAATGCGTACTTCGAATGAGAGAGAAAACAAAATTTACTTTCGTTTAAATGTTCATACGCCATTCAACATTGTAGTTTTCATTCATAATTTTCAGTCTTTCCAAAAATGTTTAAAATTTCATTAAATTTTTTTTTAGGGATGGGACACATTTTTTCGTTTTTCTGAGAGTGATTTGCTTTAAACAATGTACAAATATGAGTGTTCGCTCAGGAAATTTTGTGTGAAAAATTAGGTAGTTTTTTCATAGTTAAGGGTCAAACAACGAATAGAGAGCGAATCAAGTGCAGTGGAAACGCCACATTAGCGTTCATACGGCACGATTCGTTTTTCATAGTAATATATGCTCTGTTCCAGGACCTACAAGAATCTACTAGTTTCACAATTTTTTTGATATCATAAAGGTAAAATCGTTTATCGTAGAAAAAACTTTTACATTCTTGCAGTTCTGGAACATATCAATTATTTCGTTTTTCAAATTTTTTGCTGACATATTACATATATTTTTTATTTTTCTGTTTTTAAATTCGGTTGGAGAGTCACTTGTCAAAGATATTTTTGACGATAGATAAATTTTGAAAATATTCC